GGAACCTATTGTTGGTGGGTTTCATGAGATACCACACCCCCTGGAGCGATGTTTTTTCAAGGCTCGATCGCTCGTTCGGCAGGAAAAAACAGCCAGCGAAGATGGTGGCCGGAAATGGCGGCATTCGTTGGAGCTGCTGTCTCGTCGAGAGCTTTCCGAAGATGCACCATTTTGATTTCGGCACACCCCTCTTAGTCGTGGAACAGCAGTGCAGCAGTACACAGAGGTTTGATATTCGGTCCAGGGGGGGGGGAGGGGGGTATCTTGTGCAACCTTACGATGTGCGCACCACGTGCATTTGTTAGCGTTGCGAGCTCGGGGACGATGACCAATACCACCAGTGTTCTTCACTTTTATTTACGTGGCGAAATCTTGAGAGAGAGTTGCGGTTGCAGAGTGTGGATGGCCTCTTGGGGGTACCGGCCGGCTTGGTTAGCGATCAAGCGAGCGTCGTTCGTTTTGCTCGTTGCCACGCACAAGCAACGGGTGGAGCGGCGGCGACGGCGAGAAGCGAAAGCGCCCCCGTTTTTCGCAATTAATTTTGATTCGCGGAAGAACAAAAACAGCGCGCTCGTTTTTCGTGAACTTTTTGGCTGGAGCTTTCGTCTGTTGACGATCGGTTGGTTGTCTCTGCGATGCCCTGTCCTGTCACGTCGTTGCTCATTCGGTATCGACAATCCTCTCTTGCGATTCGCTCGTTTGCTGCACGCTGTGTTCTACTGGCCATCGTTGTTCCAACTCGTGTGCATACAATCATGAAACTGTTTGCGCTACGCTAGTAGCCGTCAGCAGCAGAACGCATGTTTTTTCTCCATCCCGCAAGGGAAGTTATCTTCTTACATAGACGGCCGTACCGCTACCTACCCCCTTTCTCTCGCCCCCGATGTCGTTCGTTCGTTCCCCCCTGCTCGCGGGCAACATCACGGATACGGACTTGATCCTCCATCGCCTGGGCCTGGCCTGGAACAACAACGACCCTTGCTTCTCCACCGGGTACTCTTCACGGTGCGGGCAACCGCCCTTCTTTTCCTGCTACCCAAACAGCAGCTCACGAACGACCCCCTCCAACCGAACGCGCAGCCTCCTCTCGACCTCAACTTTCACAACAACAACATCAACAACAACGGCGGTGACAGCAGCATCGCCGACGACAACGATAACAACGACAGCAGCGCCAAGGGCAAGAACATCCTGCCCCCTCCTCGCGCCAGCGGCGGCGGCGGGGGAGTCGGCGACGCAGACGCTGCCGGACCGGTCGCCTCGACCTCAACCGGCGTCGACCTGCCGCCGCCGCAAACGCCCCCGCCGTGTTCGAAGGCAAGGGCTAAGTCCAAGGTCAAGACCAAGCACGACCACTTCGACGACGGAGGTTGTGACAGTCATTCGGCACCGCCACCGCCACCGCCACCGCCCGCCGCTGCCGCCGCCCCCGCCTCCGGCGGCAAGAAGAAGAAGAAGAAGGTAAACGGCGGAGTCCGCGAAAATAATAACTGCAAGCACGGCGAAGCCCGCAGCAGCAGCAGCAGCAGCCGACCGCCCTCCGATCTGCCGCTGCCCGGGGAGGGCGAGGTGGAGGAGGAGGAGGAGGAGGAGGAGGAGGGGGCGGGGAGGAGACGGGATGGCGACGCCGGTTACTACCGCCCCGGCAGCTCGTCATCGTTGTATCGAGGCGGCGGAAGCGGCGGAGGCAGGAGCCACGGCAGCAGCAGCAGCAGCAGCAGCAGCAACAACAACAAGGCAGGGCTGCCGCCGACCGCCTTGAAGGAGGCGGGTGCCCGCCCCGCCCCCGCCGCCGCCGCCGCCCGCGGTGACCGCCGTCTCGGTGACGACGATGCTTCTTCTTCTTCCGCCGCCCCTTCCCCCGCTTCGGGCAGAAGAGGCGGCGGCGGGGCGTGGCAGGGTGACAATAATAGCCCGGAGCGCCGCCAGGCGGCGGCCGCGAGGCGGCGAGCGGCGAGCAGGGAACGAGAGGAGGAGCACCAGCAGGCGCTACGCAGGGACGGCGTTGACAACCACACGATACGGAATTGCTCGTTGTTCCGGGAGAAGCTCGTCGCCGCGCTGAGGAAGAACGGGACTGATCGCCCGATGTCGTTCTCGGATATGAGGAGCTCCGTAGCCCGCCCAAATGTTGGTTTTTCGGTGAGATACATATCGTGCAAGACTGCTGTACGGTTTGTACAGATTTGTGATATTTCTTTTTCGGGTCGGTGAGGTTTGCTGTTTAGTAGGCTGTTCGAGTCAAAAACACGTCAGCTGTTTTGTAAGCTGTTGAGCTTTCACCCGAAGGATGACTTTTCCGCGCCGTAAAACTTTTTAAGCAACCGACATCGCAATATTCAACCAGTCAGCCCACACAGCTGCTGCACCCTCGGGTTTGTATAGAACGCCGTCGGTGTGCGTGGTGAAACACCAGAGGGCACAGCACAAGTTTTGTGCTCGATATACCCCCCCCCCCAAACAACATGCGATTTTTCCGGCCTGTCCCCCCCCGCCCCCGCGTCCACCTTGCACCCCTCCGCTGCTGCTGCCGCCGCCGCCGCCGCCGCCGCCGCCCTCTTTTTGCAGCTCAGGGAGATTTTTCACAGGAGGCTAGTCAGAGGAGTGCGGTCGTACCTGAGGGACGGAGAGGTGTACTTCAAGCTGTGCGAGCCGGAGAACATCGGCCGGACAGGTGGCCGCAGCGGCGGCGAGGCTTCTAACGCGGTACGAGGAGCAGGAGAGGTGTGGGTCGACCACTCTATCGCCCACTACGGCCCGGGCACAAGCCCTGCCGCTGCCGCTGCCACCACCGGCTCCCCTGCTCCCGGTCCCCGGGGTTCTCGTCCGGGCGACAGGGAGTCGCAGCGGGGTCGCAAGCGGCGAGCTCATTCCCCCTCCCCGCGACGCTCCCGCCGGTGTTCCTCCTCCTCCTCCTCCTCCTCCTCCTCCCGTTCCTCTTCTCTCTCCTCCTCCTGTTCTCGTTCCTCATTTTCGTCGGACGAAGGCGGCGGCGGCGGCGGCGGCGGCGGCGGGCGTGATCGGGGACGGGCCCGCGGCCACCGGTCGGGTCGTTCCGAAGAGAGGAGGCCCTCGCGAGAAAAGGGCGCGAGCTCTAGCTCTTTCCGCGGCAGGGCTTGCCGAGTAGGGAGCAGTCGTGGGAGGGAACGCCAGTCACCGGGCGACAAGAAGAGGAAGAGGAAGGACTCTGCATCCAGGTCCATGAGCGAGGACTCGCTGGGCCGCGACCCGAGGAAAGCGGGCCGGGGAGAAGGCCACCGGCCGGCACCCTCGCCCAGGTTCAAGGACAGCAGGCCAGACCCCACCGGCCGCCGCCGCCGCCACCGCAGCAGCAGCAGCAGCAGCAGTAGGAGCAGGAGCGGGGACCGCGCTGGCACGGCCGCGAACGCTGCGAGTCCGCCGCCTCGTGCTGGGAAGGAGGGCGGGGCCGGAGGCAACGCCGCCTCCACCGGCCGCGCCGGATTAGTGAAGAAGGCGGGCGGCAAGGGGGTGAAGAAGGCGAAGGGCGGCGGGAAGGCTGGTATGGCTGCGGCGGATGGCGGGAAGGGGGACGTGAAGTCGCCGGCGTCGCCGAAGCCGGCTAAGACGGGCAAGAAGCAGAAGAGGTGTGTGAGGGTGTGTGTGTGTGTATGTATGACTCGTTCTGTGCGTCGGTGTGACGGTTTTGAAGGGATTCGATTGAGCTTGCTGTTCGGCCTAGACGTACCCACGGGGAAGATATGGTTCCTTCACGTTTGTCAAGGATTTTTGGGGTGGCGCAGACAAAGGGTGGTGCGGAGAGTAAAACGGGGAGAGGTCGTAGCGGTCTGTATTTTATTGTTGAAAGGGAATAGCATAGCAGCAGTAGCTAAAAAATAGCAAGCTATGATATATCACAACACCGACCACCTCCACGACAAACATCGGGATTCCCTCAGCCGCGGCCTCGAGTTTCGTTTTCTCGCATCGCCGGCGCTTGGTTGTGGGTGCGGACGGATCGTTATTCCTCTGTTGGTGCCGCGAACCCATGAATATGTAGTCTCTCTACTGCTGCTGCTGCTGCTGCTGCTGCTGCTGCTACTGTTCTTGCCTTGATTTTATCCGAACGCCTTGCCTGATGTGTGGATGGATGCTGTGCGCAGCCCGGCGAGCCCGGATGCCCCCGGCAGTGCCACCAAGCGCAGCGGCGGCACCGGCTGCGGCGGCGTCACCGACGGTGCGGATGGGGCGGGCCGGGGCGGTAAGCGGCGGAAAAGTTCGAGCGACGACGGTGGTGGTGCCAGCAACGCGCCACAACAAGGTGGCGAGGGTGCCGGCGGCTGTGGCGGCGAAAATAATGATGGCAGAGTGACCTCCCTTCTCAGGTCCATTTCTCAGAGCTCGGCCGTAGCCAGGAACGTTGGCGGAACGTCGATGACCGACTCTGGGGGGGCGGCAGCACCAGCATCAGCATCACCGGCCAAAGCAGCACCAGTACCAGCAGCAAAAGCAGCAGGAGCAGCACCAGCAGCAAAAGAAACGCCAGCAGCAACGGTAGCACCAGCAGCCAAAGCAGCAACAGCAACACCAGCAGCAACACCAGCCAAAGCAGTACCAGCAGCAACAGCAGCACCGGCAGCGAAGTCAGCGCCAGCAGCAAAGGCAGCCGCAGCACCAACAGCAGCACCAAAAGCAGCACCAACAGCAGCACCACCGACAAAGGCAGCTCCAGTAGCAAAAGCAGCACCAACAGCAGCAAGAACAACACCACCACCAGCGAAAGCACCACCAGCAACGACAGCAGTGACGACGGCAACAACCGGCGCGGTATCCGCCTCCGCGCCGCCGTCAACCAAGGGGACGCCCGAGAAGCCCACCGCCGCCGCTCCACGCCCTTCATCCTCCGATAAGAAGAACGAGAACGCTGACGTTGCCGGGGCAAAGGCAGCAAGGGCGGCGGGGCGGGGGAATGTGGCCTGCGTCCCGAGGAGTGTGGCCATGCGCTCCCCCGCCGCCGGTGTCCGCGAGCCCGCCCGGCTGGCGGGTGCCGCAAAGAAGCCCGGTGGCGTGCGCGCGCCGGCTGCGGCTCCCGGCAGCAGCTCCGGCAAGGTGGCGGCGGGAGAGCGAGCCACCGCTGCGGGGCCGGTGCCGAAGCCGATGAACATGGTGGTGTTCTCCAACGTCGGTAAGGTCGGGGGCGGGTGGTGGGGGGGAAGCGCGAAGAAGCCCGTCAGCCAGGTGGCCTATTCGACCCCCGGCGCCGCCGCAGCCGCAGCCGCCCGGCGCGAGACTCTGATGGCGATGACGGCGGAGGCGGCAGTGGCCGCGCCAGCGGCGGCGGTAGCCACAGGCGTGTCGCAGCAGTGGCATCGCGGCAGCAGTAGCGGCGGTGGGAAGGCGGCGGCCGTCGCGGAGGAGAGCGACGACGGCGACGGCGGCGGCAGCAGTGGCAGCCCGGCCGGGGGCTCTACCGAGGCCCTCGGCAAGATCAAGAAGGCAGCAACGTCGCCGTCCTCGGCCGGTATCGCCGAGAAGGGAAGCAAGATAGCGCTTCCTGCCCGGTTCTCGTTGAAGGCGCCTTCGGCGTCGTCGCCGGCTGGTCCCGCCGAGAAACCCAAGAGAGAAGGGGCCACCGGAGGCGGTGTGCGCGGCTGGCTGGAAGTCGCGCCGGCAGCTGCGCGGCGCGGCGAATCTGTGATGGCAGGAGGCGGTGGCGGCGGCGGTGGCGGCGGCGGCGGCGCTGCTGCAGCGAAGAAGCCCACCGCCCTGAGCCTGCTGGCGGCTGCTAGGGTTCGTAAGCCGCGCCCGAGCAAGCCCGCCGTGCCGGTGGCGGCGATCTTCGACAGGGAGGACAGCGGGGAGCGGCCGGCTTCTCCGCGTCCTCATGCGGCGACTCCACAGAGCGACCAGGTGAAGGGCGTTCTTTCTCTTTGGCTCGTCGGATGTATCGAGGTGTTTGCATTAGGGAATCGCACTAGCTTGCATGGGTACTACGTGGATTGTCATTAGGGCGCCCCCCCCCCCCCGGACTGACCAGGTGAACCGTTTTTTTTTTTTCGTCGGATATGTAGAGGTGCTTATCTTCCGGGATAAATAATGGCAGTGTGGGTAGAGCGTCCCCCCCCCCTCCGCCCCACGAAATATTGGTTCGTGTTGGTTTTCTTTTCCCACCCCGTAACGTGTGGATGGAGCATCGTTATTCCATTCAACTTCCATCCCATCCCATGAGCACGCAACACCGGATATTCCATTCAACAAGAGATGCCTCTCACGATAAGAATAGTTGACCTGCTGCCTCCCTGTTTGTTTTTTTTTCATAATGCCTCCTCTCCCGGCCCCACAAACCTCCCGTCCTCTATTCATGTCTTGCCCCCTCCCCCGCTCCCCGATCAGGCCGATCCTCCTGCCGATGGCAAGATTAGTCCGCGTGGGCGCACGAGATGGGACATGAAGAAGCCTACCTAGTGATCTACCAGTCTGCCGGCCCCCCATCTCAACCCCACTCCCTCCGTGGGCTCCTAGCGTTACGGTGTGATGATGTTCCCCCTGGAGCTTTTGTGGTATCCGCAGCAGCAGTGGAGAACGGGGGGGGGGGGCATGCAACGTTCGTTCTACTAATTTGGTTGTGATCGTCGCACCTCGGGTTCGACGAATCATTTTTTTTTTTTTCATCACATAAGGGCTCGCTTGCAGAGATTGTCGGGGTACCTGTACCACCGCAGTAGCGATTGGGTTTTTGATTGGATGATGAGGATGATGATGTTCAATGCGGCCGGCGGTCGCTTCGCACCGGGTTCGACAAATCAATTTTTGTGTCACATGAGACCTCGCGTGCAGAGATTGCCGGGAATTATGATGATGACGACGATGTTCAATGCGGCCGGCGGTCGCTTCGTTTTTTTTTTCTTCTATTTTTGGTTTCCTCCGTTCGATAGCAGCCTCTTGATGAGCATATACGTCGGGATACCGATGGCCGGCCACGGTCGGATGTGAGGTATCGGGTATGATAGGAAACGCCTGTGATTGCGGCTTTTGTGACACCGGGAGATAAGTACTTTTTTTTTTTCTTTTTTCTTAATATGACACAACGAAACCATCTCTATCATTGAAAAGAGTCTGAGACAGATTAGCAATGGATTCATAGCGTCAGAAAGTACCTGTATGTCTACGATTTCCCAGACAGCATATAGTTCTTGTTTCTGGCGCAAGTCTCGTTTTGTTGCGACTACGCTATGCACTGGTTTCCGGGAGGGGGGGGGGGGCGATAGAACACTTCCCGTTGTTATCGTAGAACGTAGGCTTTACTCTTTCTAGTGTCGTTCGGTGCCTTGTGATTTGTTTTGCTGTGAGATTTGCCTGGTTCGTGATACATACGTGGAGAAAGAACGCGAACAAGTACCCTACCGCTTTCGCATGCTAGTACACGCAGACAAAATAATTGTTTCTTTTATGTCGGATAGATGGATGTCGTGGTGGGTGGTGTTGGTCGTTCGACCCTCTTACATACCGTAGGTTCTTGCCTTTCTCTGGTCGTTGGCTCGGCCGTTTGGTCTTGTCGAGCACTTCCGTTTGGTCTACGTGCGGTGCGTCTATGTTTAACGTGCACACGGAGAAATTGTTTTTTTGCGTTAGCCAATCAACCGTCCACATTCTTGGAGGAGTTGCAGTCACGGCTCAACTCCCACAGGCGGAGAGAATACACCTTGTATGCCAGATGCCTGTCTTGCTCAGAAAATAAAAGTAAGAGGCAAGCACACAACTGTGAGAAGGCGGAGCCAGTTTTTTTGTTCGACTTCTCTCACAAGCAAGGTTAGGTACTGCCGTGCTGTTTAATCAAAACCTGACACACATGCCCCCACGTAGCAAGCACAACGGATAGGGCAATCCAGTTTCTCTCTGGCGGCACCCATCAGGTTGCTCATGATGTTGAGTACAATACAACGCGCCTGCAACAACGCCGTTCAACCCCTACCCGTCATCGGAAACAAGGGGCCATCCACTAATTAAGAAGCTAAGCAGCGCGTTATAACACACGACGAACTTATTTTTGTGCGTGTGCCTTTTTCTTGTTCCCAGAGGAATGTACACGGTTCGATAGATGAACACCGCCAGACGCTGAAGTAGCGTCGTCCCGGGCATGATCCATCCCCACGCAACCCCTGATGCACACACGCACCCTAGGCTGTAGCACAGGAGGAGCAGATAACACATCAAGAATTCTACGTGGCGGTGTTTATAGCCTCCCTCTCCTTAATCCGGAGACCGGACCCTGTAGGTTTTCGCGCGCCCCCGCGCCGGGGGGAGTCTGCTGAAGTGCGTCGTAATCGTTTTTTGTTTTTTGTTCCGCTCTAATATGCCGACGACGTCATGTCGTTGGTGAGCAGGTTAGCACGGTCGGTGCTGGTTGAAACTAACCAAACACAACACCCAGACCGACCCCTACCCGAAAGCAAATAATAATGAGAAATGGACTATTCAGACAAAAAGGCAGAAAACGGGAGGGGCTGCCCCCCTCCCTCCCCCGACAGTCACAACCCACGCACGTGCGTACCCAGTTTTATTCGGGTTGAGGAGAACGCGGAAGCAAAGCAGGCACCACAACAGCGTGTCCCTCTTGAGTGCATGCGCCTCTACAGCAGTGTGTACCGAAAACGGAAAAATGACGAGGTGACCCCTCCCCACCGCCTGCCCCCTGGTGTCCGATTCTTGGAGGATTCGACCCGCCAAAGCAACAAACACACCAGGATTAGAGTTTCACTCTATCCCTTACCCTAAGTAACCCTGAGTTGAAAATACAGGATGCCACCACCAAGCTTGACATGTATCGCTACACCCACGAGGGAAAGAGGGGGGGGGGGCTCTCCAAGAGACGGATCTCTCTCCCAGCAAGCAAGGAAAAAGTGCATTGATCCCAACCACCCACCACGTCCTGAAACGACGCTCACACGCCTCTCTTCTTTGCCGTGTGTGCGTTGTCCTGGGCAGACTTTGGTTGCTGAAGCCCCTCCCCCGCCTCGGACAATGGGTGAGTGTCACAACAACGCAACAACACCGCGCGGCCAAACACGTGCCAGCGGACCGTCGTCGGCAAAGATAGGATAGCGAAGGCAACAGCAACAGAGTCAAGAAAGGAAAGTCTTGCGCGTCCTTGCTTTCAAATAAATCTCTTCTTTCAGTCGTCGAGAAAGAAAGGGGGGGCGTACTCTCTTCTTACGTTTTGTGTGCCTTAGCGGTTAGACCATTGACCACGCGTCCTCGAGAGGACGGAGCACTGTTCCCACAGGACCGATCACCGATGGCCAATCGTTCCTTCCTACTTTGCCAAAGGGAGGCTCGAAAATGTCTTCCCTAGGCTATCTATCCTACCGATATCACTCCCCGCCTTTTCAAACCACTTCCTATTCCCCAGTACAGCTACCGTCTTCTCCTCTCTATTCCATGCCTCAAACATCTCCCTGTACCTCCCTTGTATTTTTTCCAGCTCAGTCATACACACTTCCCTCTCCTTTTCGTACAACTGACATTCCACGACTACATGAACACGGTCTTCGCAAAGGGGGGGGTACAAAAGAAAGCATTCGACCACACTCCTTTCGTTCGTCGCGCTAAAAAGAAGGCAAAGCCTGCACATGCATGCGTGTTACAAGAAATTTACAAAGATTGATATCATTACGAGAAATCTACCACCACTTCCCTAGTTACTGCACCTGCTATCGAGCAATAATCTGGGAGGAAGACCGCCTCAAGAGAAAAAGAAAATTGTCCACGAAAGTGTCAAAAGAAGAGACAGTTTTTTGGACGGACGCGGACCCTTCCTGAGAGAACTCAAAGAGGAGGAATCACACAGACGGGTGGAACGAAAACACAACAACAATACAACACAAAACAGGGGGGGAAGACAAAGCACAAATAACCGCGAGAAACGCAAGTTTTGCAGAGCACTACTCTGAACGATATAATAATAACAGAGGTTCCTGCCTACTACCTACTGATGTGCCGCTCGCCGACTTCTCCCGGGATGGTGGTTCGCCCGTGATCAACCAAAAACCACGACGATAAAACACGATGGGAAATGGACGAGGCTCAACGTCAAACTTTATAATTTCCTTATCCCAGGCATTGCCACCTAGGGTCGCTGCCCTCCCCATCCTCCCCTCTCGGGCGAGAAACACGGAGGTAAAAAAAAGCACACACACACACACCTCTACTACCACTTCACGCCTAACGCCTAACGACAAAACTTGTACCCTTCGTGCATTGATACACGGTGCCTCTTCGTGACGGTTCAGACGAGCCTCACGCCCTACGGGGGGGGGGGGGGGGGGGGGGACATCAGGACCGACCTCGGGGACAGCAAACTCAT